TCAAAATAGAACTGAATTTTATTGGCTATGCAAAAAATGTATGCAGTCATCTTACCTATATTAATCCCTTTAAGAACAAGTCATGAACAAAATAAACAAATAGACAAAATTGAAACAGACTCATAGACACAAGAGAACAGACTGGTGGTTCCCAGGGGAGAGAGGCTGGGGGACTGGGTGAAAGAGGTGAAAAGATTAAGAATTACAAATTGTTAGTTACAAAACAGTCACAAGGATGTAAAGTATAGCATAGGGAATATAGTCAATAATATTGTGATAACTATGTATGGCACCAGGTTGGTACGGGAAATACTGGGGGAACCACTTTGTAAAGTATATAACTGTCTAACCACTATGCTGTACATGTAAAACTAATACAAAATAACATTGAATGTAAACTGTAATTAAAAATTTTCAAAAATGAACCATAATATCATACCATGATATGCTTATCAATAAAGACAATGAGGCTTTGCTTATGCTTCCTTTGAGTTATACAACTGGTATTAAATTATGAGCACTTCAATAAGGACTATACAGTGAATATTTTTATTTCAAATCACCATCTGGTACTTAATGTCACTATGGCTGTCAATTTTTTAATGTTTCTCTATACAACTAGCTAATAATTGCATAAATCAGTATAAAATGTCAGATAGGTTTTAATCTCATTTTCTAGAAGAAAAAATCAGTGCCATATTTTTCAAAGAATTTTTTTAATTCATCTGAATTTGAAGACTATTAAAATATTTATCAGTGATGGGGAATCCTATTGAATCTCAATAATCAGCTGAAACTCCAAACAAAATAATTACATAACAAAGAATCCACCAATAAGTCTCAATTTTCATTTTCACTGACATAACCTCTACCAATATTTCTATCACATAATAAAACTTTAGTGTTTGAACAGCATCAAATTCACACATAAAGAAACATATACGTTGTGCAAATCACCAATTTTCATCAAACTGAAAATATATCTCTTCAGATGGCAAGAGAGCTAGAAAGGCCTACATATTCATATAACTAAAGAAATAAGACAAATGTGATCAGATATATGATTTAAACAGCTATTAATCAAAAGTAAACTAAAACTAGTAAAAGAAACCATCAAGTCACTAACTTTAAAGCCTCCTAATAGACAACAGGATGTGTAAAAGTGAACAAATGTCAAAAACATATTTTTATCTCCAGATCTGTCCTGATTACAGCAAAACATTCTTCACTGACATCTGTCCTTCCTAGGTCTCCATGCTTTTTTTTCTTCTATACTTGGCACATACTTTCTTAATAAGAGATAGCTCTTATATTTCTTAACATCTTTTTCTGCATTCCTAGTTGCCCTTAATCTTTTCCTCTCTAAAATAAATTAGTCTTCTCTTTAATTCTACTTATATTGCCTTAGCAGAAAGCCAGACTCCTCAACCTACAACTCAACTCTGTTTTTAGATAACTAGGTCAATCCTTCCTCCAAAGTGCAAGTGTCACTATTTATATTTATACAAATTATACATATATTTTAATTACAGTACTACTGTCAGTCATTTTATAGATATGCAGATGTACTTTTTCTTTAAAATAAATCTTGCTAATGAATATCTCCAAGATGAATATTTTTCAATCAGACTTTTTTCTTTTTCATATGTAATACATTATCTCTTACTTGCACAAGTATCTCTCTATCCCCACTCTCCCCCTACGGCAATAACCACTTTTTATCCCAGTAATGCCGAACTAATTTTGGAGCCCTGAATATACAAGGACTTTTTCATATCTCCATTACTATACATTTTATCTCCCTGCTTCAAATGACCTTCTACTCTTGTCCAGGCAGCATATTAAAATTCCACCCTCAAACCCTGTCAGCTTTCTTCTGAAGTCTTCTTTGAAGTGTACTCTCTTCTCTCAAGATCCTGCCACTGAAATAGGTAGTTTCAACTTCTAGATATAATTATATAAGTATCAAATTTTATTATAACCAGGATTCATCTGTTATTTATCACTCCCTTGTTTAAGAGAAAGATCTTCAGAGCATTTTACACTTAGTTCTAACCACAAAGGTAGCACATAAAGGTCCATAAAGATGTTAAAATCTGGCCATGGTTGTAGGGAAGGGGAGGGGAAGCAGCCAGGTAAGGAAACACTAAGAGTTATTTTAATCCACTATTCTCAACCAGCTTTTAAAAATATAAGTGAGAATTTATTAAGATGTAGGGGACTAGCACGATAACAAATCAACTTATCTATCAAATATTGGACGGCTCACTGCTTTATATTTTAAAAGAATATTTATTTATTCAGTCAGTCAGTCAGTGAGTACTCCTTCAGAATGTGGGACTCCCCAAGAGTGCTGCAGGGGTGGAGTTCATTGCTTTATTAAAGCAAAAATTAAACAATGTGCTTATTAATACAGGAAAAACACTAGCATTTCATGCATTTCTATAAGTTTTAACTGTTTAAAATGGTACTAAAAAGACTCTGAGGTAGCCCAATTCAATAACTTTTAAGTTCAAATAAAGAAACACATACCATGAAATTCAAGTTAGTCAAATTCTAAGCAAATAAATTCCACTCTACTCTAGAGCTGGTATACTTTTTTCCTTAGTTCAGTTTCTAAAAGTCATAATGTACTGATACATGTTAACTTCCCCACTACAGGTGGGAAGAAAATATTAAAATAATGTAACTTTAATTCTGTAATAAGTAATTTTTGATTTTCAAGGTATCTCAAGAAAAGTCATCAGTAGGTTCTGTTTCTTACTGCACAAGTACCCATGTGGCAGCAAGTAAACTATAACATGATATACTATTAAATCTTGTAATGAAGGTACTTTTAATTACTTCATTAATAAATATTAATCAAGCCCATGTTCCTAAGACAGAACATTTTAAAAGTGATCTTCATGTTGGAGTACTCTCCTTAACTCTCAGTTTTCTTCAAACGGACATCTAAATAGAAAGCAAAATTCCCCTACCTTACTCCACACTCTTTCTTCCTCGATACTTGGCCTATACTTGTCCTAACACTTCTATGGACACGCCTTAGCATTTTTTAGTTTGTCTGCATTTTTTAACTCATTAGTTCATTTACCTAAAATACAGATTTTATACGCACAAACACACCATCAAAAAAAAACCTAGAAATATAATGAAAAAATAAGATGGACTGCCTTCTGCATCCATAGTAATGATATTGCATGAGCCCTTCACAGAAGCAGCCTCAAATTGGTCATTAATTCATTCATCCATACATTCATTTAAACAGGGCTAGATGCTGCAGACACAGCAGCAGGCATGAAGGAGGGTATAAAGTCTTTCACACTGATGGAGCTTAACTCAGTTTTTCAACTAACAATAGCAAAAGATTTTTTGTTTTAATTTAAAACTGTGATGGAAAAACATCTTCGAAATCACATTAAATACTTTTATAATCATATTAGAAAGTAGCCCTTAAACCTATAAAAAAAATGGAAACAACATCGTAATTCAAATGAAATGAAAAGTGGATCAATGTAATGAAATGCACAGACAAAAAAAGAGAAAATAGTGATGTACTTAAATGAATAATTATTATGTATCTTCATTTTTATTTAGATTGTCTTACAACTAGCTTCATGCTTATTTTTAATCATAATATTTTCTTCTTTTAAAACCAACTGTTATGAACACCAGCAAAACAAAGAGAGGCAAATACCTACTACAATAGTATCACAAATTCAGAAAACATATTTAAAGGTCACAGGAAAATTATTGGCATACATCACATAAGCTCTTCCTATCTTGGTTTTCTCAACTGCTAAATGAATATTCTGGAAGAGATAATATCTAAGCCCCATTCCATTCATCTAGTTCACATGATTTTCCAATCCCTTTAAAAGGAAAGCCTCTTCACTACTCCTAAGTGTCCTCACTAGGTCTTTGACAGAGATGCCATATAACATGAAAATTTGAAAACAAAACTCAAGAAGGCAATAACAATAAAAGAACAACTTTTTACGGTACAGCAAAACAGCCCATATTCCTTTACAAAGAAAGTATGTTTTGTAATAATTCTAAGTTATAATAACCAAAGAGCTGCCTACATTTGGGCTTCTAGAAGCATCTGATAAATACACACAATAATTAACAAGAAAAAAGATTCTAGACAGATTTCATACTAAAAAATAAAACTAGGTTTGTTTTTTAAAAAGTACTTTCATGACTTTTTAAAAAATATATAAATTAGTATTAGAAAAATTAAAACGAGTTATACAAAGATTAAGACTAAGTTTGTGAATCAATAGTTTCCAAGAGCTCACCTGCTTCCAACACTAACTCCTTCCGAAACAAGTATTTCAAGAATGAATATAACCCAAATTTAAATGTTACAGTTCTAAAATATTTAGCAACATAAAACAAAAACACGTACCACAATTCCCTATTGTGTGTTATTTAAATATACTACCCCATTTCTTCTCATTCTGCCCTTCACCCAAATTACTAGATCTTGTAACAGAGTCACTGCCCAATCTAATTCCTAGAGCAGCAAATTATTAAAAATTTAAATGAAGACAACTTTCTTCTTTGGGATAAGAATGATTTTTAAAAATTGAATCAACTGAGAGTCAGCATTTATTACACCCTAGAGGGAATGCAGGACTTGAAGTCTTAATTATTAATAAGTTCATTCTGTGAAAATTTATACTGCAAAAGAATTATGGGGCCTTCAATGTGTAACTGTTCTTAAAAGTCTTTAAAAGAGAAAGAAAAGTTATTCCTCAAAACTTCAAACAAAAAGTATGCTCAGTTTCACAAGGAAAGTAAGAAACATTACAGTCTAAAATTTAAAAGTTACTGAGTTCAGAATAAAATTCACTGGAAATTACAAATATACTGAACATCAGTAAGAACAGGTCTTAAAATTTAAAAAAAATATTAATTTTATATATCAATTATTAAATAAAATTAGTTTAAGAATGGTAAAAAAATGTTTTTTTTTCCACACCAAATCATCTTACCTGAATCATTTTGCTGTTAAAAAACTCAAGATACTGATTTCATTTTTCATCTGGTCCTGTCAACGATGCTATGACAGGCCCTGCAGGAAGCAGCAAAAGATCAATGATGGAGTGCAGATATTACGTGTTTTCATGATCAACTTTTGTTATGGAAAAGGAAGTCCACATAGTGGCTTGAAACTTAGCAAATATTGAAAGAAACTCAAAAGGTTTGTCAGTGTACATAATATTCTTTTTCTGGTTGTTTTTTCTCTTTGTAGTCTTAAAATGTTTATTCTTCGTATCTTCTTTATCAAAAATTTTAAAATGACAGTGAAGTATATAGGTGAAATTTTAAAGAATCCTTTTTATATGATGAGAGTTGTTAAGAAAATAATAGTTCGCAATGTCGAAAATAAAAAATCTTGATGGAAAAATTAAATATGTTTAAAGGTATGGGAATGATTCTCTTGATGTCTAGAGATAATTATTTTAATCTTATTTCCCATAATTACCATAATTACCAATAACTTACCAACTATGCACAATTTAATCAAAATAAAATTTAATAGACTTTTCTTACAAACAGTGGCTTCAGAGTCAAACGGTTATTGGCAATACTGGTAAAAATTCCTCAAGAAAAGTATAAATTACAAAAAAAAAAAAAATCTGCGCAAACTCTAAAACTTAATTACTCTTAGGTAACTGACAAGTTACATTCAATGGATACGAAAAAGTTCAAATCAGTAAAACTAATAGTAAAACTGCTTCAAAAGACTCCAAATGATATTTTTAAATTCGGAATTATTTTAAAAGACTATATAGTACCTTGTAAGATATAATTGGCATTTTTACCTTAGGAACTGTTTTCCATTCAAGGGCCAATTAATAAGCAGGACAGCAGTAATTGGGAATACTATTACAACGTACAGGAAACTCCTAAAAATGCCATGGCAGTGTATCACTGTAAGTCAGGATTTCAAGCTGATTAAGAAATTTAAAATATAAATGGACAGACTAATATTTTTAGAGTTTTTATTTAATTAATCAAATTTTAATTTACTTGTAATAAAATGTGATAAAGAACCATTCTAACAGAACTCCTACATTACGCTGTAACATCCTAAAAGTATTTTAACATGCTCTACTTGTCTTATTTGCGGGAAAAGTTCAACACATTCAGCAAAGTTTGCTTGCCCAAGCCCCTAACATGCTAAAATGATACCACAAAATTTTACATGGGTTATTTGTCCAATAAAAATAAATCAACAAATGTTCATCTAAGATAATAAAACAGAAAGAACTACAATGTACTTCTTATTTCTGCTCCCTCATGATTTGGAAATATACTTTCAAATATTTGGAATAGGAAAATTTAAATTTTTCTGACCTAACATCATTTTATTTTTGCTTCTATACCTAAAGCCCCCCCATCTTCTTTTCATGTGGATTCTATCAGACTTACGAAAATTATTTCTTTCAAATATTTGCATATGCAAAAGCTGATGACACATCTTTAAAGAACAGGATGAAAAAGTGGAACTCTCACCAACGCGAGCAACAGAAAGTATTTATTGAAAAGTACTGCTGCATTTCTTGCATGCTGCATTTTATGCCATGACACTTCAGTCTCTGAGGGTCAGGTTAATTAAGCTCCTTAGCAGCTGCAGTGCAATGTGAGACACACACTGCTGTGGTTCCCACCAGTCCAGTCCAATTACCTGTAGTATTCCAGCACTGGACAAGTGACAACCAACCTCTTTTCTCTAGTCACTTGCTCCCACTGGTCTACTGATAAATGTTAGAACAAACTAACCTCTTTTTGGAAAAGACTGCAAAGCTGAATGCACCTGCTGCAGGCTGCAATGATGAGTCCCAGAGAGATGTTTGTCAGTCAGATCTCTGCAGATGTTGTTTAACTTTATGCTAGAGCTGTATCCAAAGATGGAAATGAGATGGCAATCAAGCACAAGTCTCCCACCCTCATTCCCCCATTTTAATTTGAAAAGCTGCACTTGCCCATAAAAGTTGTGCTTTAAAACACAGCTCTACTAAACTGGAAACAACTAAGACTAAACTCTATGGTAAAAAAAAAAGGTTATATTAAGTGCTGAATTTTTGTCAACAAGTGGCATAACTATATTCAATAAATGTTATTTGTGTCATTTAAAAGCTTAAAAAAAAAATCTTAATTCCTTTAAACCAGAGCAAAACAAAGCAAAAGAACTATAACACAGACAAGTTTTTAATTGGTGGTTTGTTGCTCGGATTTTTAGTGACACCACATACTCCTTATAACTCTCAAGACACAGATCATTATTCTTCTTGTGTATTATACAAAACATCTTCAATACATAAATACTGAACTATTTCACCAATTGTGTTCCCTATTTTTAAACTGTACCTGAAATCCTTTGGGGATGACACTTGCAAGACAATGTTGTTAGACATAATGTATTCCCTTATAATGTCACAAATTTAAAATTAGCTATTTTTCCAAAATCCAGAAGACTTCAAATATCAAATTTTAAAGGACATTTTGCTATATTATTCATGAAAATACTATCAATTAATGATGTTCCATGACTTACTAAATGAATGACAGAAGATATAGCATCAGAATGAAATAAAATGAATAGCTAAGATTTTTAAAGCTAAGTCAATCTTTCTTGAAATCCCATGCCACAAAACATTTCCTTATATGAGTTAAATATAAAAATTATCTTTCCAAAACAAGTTTAATACAGATTGTGCTATACCAGTAACACTCCTTCATGTTAAGATTTCCTATTGCTTAAAGTGAGAAATAATTAAAACTGCAGCAAATTCTCAGAGAGGTATTACTATCTAAGTGAGCGATTATGGTTCTTCCTTCAACTGAAGATGTAGAGAGATAAAATATAAAGTAACCCACAATAATAAGTAGTATGGCAAATATAAATATTACAAATATAAATATTACAACTTTAAGATTTAAAGAAAAACATGTTATCAGCAACTTTATCATACTGGAATCAAAGTTATAGAACAGTGTAATGATAACTATCCATTAAACTGAACAATACTGGAAATTATATACTACTTGATTTTCTACTTGTTACAATTCTGTTTATCTACTAATTTTGGCTTAAAATATATAGCAATAAATTTCTAAGATGCTTTGAATCTAGGATGCTTTGAATCTAGGAGTACAGACTTTTAGAAGTTATAACAAAGTATTCACATTGTACTGCTAATATCATACTCTTCCTTCAACTACGTAAACAAATGAAGTGATCTATTTTAAACTTCATTAATTCCCCCAATTTAAAAAATAAAAAAAAATCATTCTTAGACAATCCCAATTTTAAAGTTTAAATTGGCCACCGAATTTTCCCCATGTCAAAATTAAGGCTGTCTGAGATACTTCCTTTACTAGAAGAAAAAATCACTTATATCCTGCTTTATCATGATTTTTAAAAATGTAACATACAAATGATTTATGATTTCTTAAAAAGCATCACCTAAATTGTACAGCGATAAAATTAAAATATAAATATAGAAATAAGTTCATAGTTTAACATAAAGACTATGAAAGAAAACAATGTATGTTAATTAGCTGTGATCCAATTTTTTAACCACAAATATGAAAACTGTATAAAATACACACAAATATAAGCTAATATTATAGTGACAGATTCGGTTTGATTAACATAATAAATATCTCCAGTGTCATAATAGAATAAAAAATAGGTACACTATGAAGTGTTCTAAAATCTAAGGCATACGAAAATATTTATTTTATACATCCTCTACTATTCTAAACCAGTAAGTTTTTCCAATTACCTACCCAAACCATTCATTAGGTAATTTTCACAGGTAAAGTCAATCTATTTATTAACAAAAACTAAACACACTTTCAGATGCCACTTAAAAGAAGAAAAGAACACTCCCACCATTCGGAAAATAAATACAGCAACACAGTCTCCCAAATGAGAAAGCTGTGTTTTACTATATGGCAACACCTTTAAGTAACCTAATTATAAAAATGATATATAAATACATCAAATTAGGTTGCTTTAATTAAGAAAAAAGGTACATCCATACACCACCAGTAATTAGTATTCTGTAAAATTTATGATTTTTTAAAATAGATAAATGAATTACACAGCACAATAAAAAATAAATCTATTTGTACTCTTTTTTTTTTGAGTATAGTAATTGAAAACTGCACTTTACAATCTTCATCACACAATTCCCCAAATTATTTTATTTCCTATATGACATGCTGAAATATACAATGCAACATACTGTACTTCAAATTCTAAATTCATGTTAATTAATGTGTAAAAATGTTTTCTTCATTTCAACCATAAATATAAAAAATTACTTAGAAAGGCACGGTTGCTTATGACATTTTAAAGCTATAACCTGAGCAAAAATAAGAAAAACAAATATGAAAAATATGAGATTATATTGGCTATAACTGAAAACAATGCACATAATCATTTGAGTTGAAATTTATTAAAATATCTCCAAAGTGTGTCTGTATTCTGCATATATATATATATATGCATATACATATATGCATATATATATATATATATCCTGAAGGAAGTTTTTGTCAAATATAGCAATATTTTATCTAAATCTTTTGAACACAGTTACATTCTGTTTCAAAATTTAGGTAATTTGAGAAANATATATATATATATATATATGCATATATATATATGCATATATATATATATATATATCCTGAAGGAAGTTTTTGTCAAATATAGCAATATTTTATCTAAATCTTTTGAACACAGTTACATTCTGTTTCAAAATTTAGGTAATTTGAGAAAATCCATTAGGTTACAACTAAAGTACACTTTCACCAAATATAATGTCTCACAAAATGAGAAACAGTAAAATGCTTCATGAAATAAACATCAGGCATATTCATTCCAAAAGAATAAAGAGTCATAAATACATACATGAAACACACAAAAATGGACTTCTGAATTACTGCGTAATCCTATAAGAAAGTCTTTATAACTTGGCGATATAAATGAAAGCTTTAAAATATAGTTCATCTGAGATGATGAGAGTAAGTATGCCTTAAGTATTTGAGTATATCTAAGTAAAAGAAGTTGAAAGGCTCTGAGAGGCTGTATGCTGAAGAATACCATGACCTTAGATAATTCCACAGGCTTGTGGTCAAGTGTGAACAAAAAGACTATTATAATTAAAGTCTATCAGAAGAAAAGAGATGCATCTGTCCAAACAGGTAATAACCTAATTAAAATTTTATTAAAATACAAAGTGTTCAGAATTATTAAAGCTTCTTATAAATTACAGGGCTTAATTTTATCCTTAAAATTGATTCCATTGTGTCTGATTGGTTTCCACCTGTTACAGGCAGGGTATAAGCCTTCTTTTATCCAGACATTTCAACTCACATTTGATCAGGTTACGTCACTACACACACAAAATTTTATTCAACACATTCCAGTTTTCCTTCTTTAAAAAAAAAGGACAGCCTTGTTCTATACGAATAACATGACTCAGAACTATAAATAACCAATTTCAACGTAATAAGAAAAAACACACCACTAAGTAGACTAAGAACAAAAAGGTCTATTTCTTGGTGTACCCTTTCCAAACCACTGAAAATAAACTATATTCAAATGAAAAGGCATTTAATTTACTATTTGGAATACCCTTGATAAACATCAATTTTCTAAAACATCCCTGAACATCTGATACCACCTCATGTATAATGCAAAAAAACTATTTCATTTTCACCTACTGAAAGTAAATTTACCACTGCAGTCTTTTCCTAGAACTATCACGTTATTAATTCTGCAATCAAGCTCTTTTGAGTGCTTTTACCTGTATTAAGGGTTTTCAGAATTTCAAACTGATTTTTTCCATCATAATATATCTTTTAACATACGAATGTGAATATATTAGCAAACTTTCTTAAATGAATAAGGAAAGTTTCAGAGACAAGGAAAGCCACCAACAAAACTCACAGGAAACAAACTTTCAAAGGATGTCATATCTAATAAGTTACATTGTAGTTTAATATATTTAATATTTACCAAATATAACTACACTTAACTTAAATAACTAAATAATAGTTTCAACCATTCTAAAACCTTCTTAATCAGCATAATGGTCCATTTTCTACCAGCAAGTGATTGGCTATGAAAAAGAAATCCTCCAAGTGTTCTGCTTACATTCATGCCAGATGTCTTTGCTGTATTAAAGAACTCTTACTGAATTAGTTCACTGAAAGCAAATCAGCTTTTCTTTTCTACCAGGAAAAAAAAAATTAGTAGTACTAGTTCCTCTCACCACTGAATAAACATTTTTTTATAACCATAAAAAGAAAATAATAGAAAAAAATGGCAGAAGCTACATCTAGGTAAAAGCAAATCAGTTAATGTTTTATCTAGGAAGGAGATACACTAGTCAATTATGGAGTTTTTCCAATTAAACTTAAAATCCATATATTGAGAAGGAAAATTATTTTTAAAAAGAAGATGAACATGCAGAACTGTATAATGCCTGAAATTAAAAAAGCACACTGAAAAGTACAAAAATACATTATACCACCTAGGAAACTTGCCATATTCTAATGGGTTACAGTACCAAACAAACTGTTAACATATTTTAATCAAATACAGCTCCTAAGTAACAAAATTTTGAAGCATTATTTCACTCCTTACATAATATATTTTCTTGTCACAATTACATTAAAAACACAGTATTTTAAAAATCCGAAGAGGCAGCACTTGTCCTCTTTACTTCACTCCAGGGCCAACAAACAAAGCAATGAAGCAGAAAGAGGTACATAATGGATTTAGAAGTAAATGGTCCATTCTTTAAGAAGGCTTCCTACCCCCTCTTCTGAATTCACTCTAGACTAATTGTCATTACAATGATGTCTGAAAACTTCAGAAGAGCCCTATTTCCTGATGCCAGCTGTCAAGGTTTCTATCTTTAAATTTCAGAGTTTGGTGTTTTTTGTTTTTTCCCCCAATTAGAAAGTATTTAGAAATACCCAGAAGATTCATCTCCCAATTGGTCTAAATCACAGACACAGTATCTTTTTTTACCAAAAAAAAAAAAAAAAAAAAAAAAAAAAAAATCAACAATGGAAATAGTCTTTAAGAATTTCCACAAACATTCTAATACAGCAAGTACATAAAATAAAGTCTACACTGTTAAGAATTTCTTTCAATACAGCACACAACACACGAAGAGCTTCTCTTTCTTTCCTTGGGGATTTATCAAAAAAATCTTTTCACCATTGCACCTACCTGGGTAAAAATCTTTGGACTTAGACAGCTTGATGGTGGCTCCAGTTTCTTTTTGCAACTGAACAATTGTCTGTCCTCCCTTCCCAATTATAGATCCAGCAGCATAACTAGGTATGAGAACCTTTAGAAAATACTGGCCGTCTTCTGAAAAATGCAAAGAAATATACTTCGTTAACATGATAATTTAAACTTTACATCCCCTCTCCACCCTCAAGAGAGAAAAGCGGCAATTAGAACATTAGGCATATAGCTGCAGGAAATACGGGGTTAAAAATTTTTTAAGAACAAAAATAAAACAATTACACCAAAAAATAAGTATGTACAAATGTTTCCCATTTTGTAGGATTTATACTTTCAAACTTGGAATTAAAATCTAAACATGTTCTATTATTTTGCAGCACTGTAGAAACTGATGACTAAATTCCAGTTGTTATTCCAAACATGGAAGCCTTCCAATTCTATCTGTGGTTACTATGGTAAAACAAAATGAACTGACCCTTTAACAAAACTTCAGAGATTTATAAAATGACAAACCTCTTAACATACTGCAAAATAAAAGGACTGTAAATAGTAATGAACTATATTTGTTTGACATTAGCAAACACATAAGGACTGCAATTAGCCATTGCAAATATCCTACTTAAAGTATGCAAAACAACCATTCTCCTACCAAATAACCCACCCAAACTGTAGGGTGTATTCCAAGCCTTCAGTAACTGCCAGGAAATAACTCAAAGTGATTTGAACGGGCAAATCTAACTAATCCTGGTGTATTTCTTTAGCACTTCTTAGCCTACCATGATCTCCTTTAAGCTCATTAATTAAAGAACCTTAAGAAGAATTCTACCAATGCTAAAAAGCTTAGGAGTCATCTGTATCAAATACACTTAAAAATGACCGAACAGATAATGTTCTTTCTCCAAAATAACTACAAATAATTAAGACGGAGAGGGGGTAAGATGAACCAAGAAAGTGAAATGAAATGTTTTAAAAAATAGAGCCAACTCCATAAACTTTAATTTCCGTCCGACTGATCATGTCTCAAATAGGAAACAGCCCGGAAAATCCAGCTTCCTTATGTGAATGAATGTTCCAAATGCTGCGGGTGTGCCACTCGCAAGACCCCCATCCGTCTCTAATGAACATGCGGTAGATAAATTCACCTCTGCCTCGATGCATTGGGTGCATTGTTAAGATGACTCCAGTGCAAATGAAGAAGCGATACCGGTCCCGTTATAACTCATCTTCCCAGGAAGCGCAGGATGTTCACTAACAAGTCATAGTACCAGACACCCCCACCCTCCTATGCACACCGCGGAAGACAAATCAATGAGATATTTGCACCGACCATACAAGTGCGGTAAGAGCATGCACTCATCCAGATTTTGCATACTACTTGTGGCCCACAGCGAGGGGATGGCGAGAAAAACTCTCAGGTGCCCCGATCATTTGCTATCCGCTCCCTAAGTGCCATTTATTTATTTATTTAATCAGACTGTTCAATGCCGCGCGCATCTTCGGGCGGCCGTCACCTCACTCGGGGGTCATCCTCCTCCTCCTTCACGGACCCCTTGGCCCGGGTCTAGGATATTTAAATGGTCAGCCTTTCGACCGTTTAAATGGAAAGAGAGGTCTATTCCGAAAAATCGGTCGCCATTTTGATGAATGATAAACACAGAAATGGAAATGTGTCCCGGACAGCGAGGTGCGGGGCAGGTGCAG